TTAGACCTTAGAAAACAATTTAAAATAACTTTGTTCATGAGACAAGACAAATGGAAACCCTGAATCATGTTAGGGGTTTTTTTTGTTTAAGATTTTTTATTTATTCATTTGAGAGAGAGAGAAGGCAAGAGTATAAGCAGGGGGGAGCGGCAGAGGGAGAAGCAGGCTCCTCGCTGTGCACGGAGCCCTATGTGGGGCTCAATCCCAGGACCCCGCGATCATGACCTGAGCCAAAGGCAGATGCCTGATTGATGGAGTAACCCATGTGCCCCTTATATTAGGGATTTAAAAGGAAAATTACAGATACAGTAGATATCAGTAATCTAATAATTTTATGCCAATGAATTTGAAAACCTAGCTGAAATAAGATATTCTAGAAAAAATTTATAAAACTGATTTTCAATAAAAAAGCAAAAACCTGAAATAATCTTTATATGTCTTTATATTTCTTTTAATAGCTACAAAGCATTGAATTAGTAGTTAAAACTTTATCCCTGAAACCTACACACTAACCTGGACTAGATGGTTTTACATTCATGGAAATACAATTCCAAACATATAAAATGCTTGCAGTGATTAGATAAATGAGTATATTTGCCCTGCCCACAGACTGTTCATCTTGTGAGGCTAGTAAAACCATCATGCCAAACTAGGCAAGGATAGTATGAGAAAGAAAAATTATACCCAATTATATGAACATTAACACAAAAATCCCAAACAGAACATTAGGAAACTGAATTAGAAAATGGATGAAAAAGAGTATATATCATTGCCAAATTTTTTTTTTTCAGGAATTCAAGTATTAGAAAAACCTACGTATTTTATTAGCCAGCTTAAAACATTAAAGGAGAAAACAACCCCATAAGATAATTTCAAGAGAAGCAGAAAAAGTTTATCATAAATATCCTTCAATATAAAAACTTAGCGGGGCACCTGGGTGGCTCAGTTGGTTAAGGATCTGCCTTTGGCTCAGGTCATGATCTCAGGTCCTGGGATTGAGCCCCATGTCAGGCTCCCTGCTCAGCGGGGAGTCTGCGTCTTCCTCTCCCTCTTCCCCCGTTCGTGCTCTCTTTCTAATAAATAAATTTTTTAAAAATCTAAAAAAAAAAAAAGAGATAAAAGCTTAGCAAACTAGGAATAGAAAGGACTTATTTTTAACCCAATTAAGGGTACCTATGTAAAACTTGTATCAAAGTTCACACACAGTGATGAAACTTTAGCAGTATTCTCTTTCAAGGTTTAGAAAAATACTGTCATTTCTGCATAGAACTCCCAAAAGAATCTGGAAAAAATTGTTAATTAATAAAGTTAATACTAATTAATAAAGCTAATAATTATAAAGTCCAGCAAATTTGCTGGATATATGATTAATAAATAAAATTAATTACATTTAATATATCAGCTATAAAACAGCACTTCTAATAACAAAATATGAAAAGTACTTAGACAAAAGATTTAATAAAATCTAATAAATCTCATAAAAGGTGTGTGATTTTTAAAAAATTTTATTTGAGAAAAAGAGAGCAAGAGCACAAGAGGGGGGAAGGACAGAGGGAGAAGCAGGTACCCTGCTGAGCAGGGAGCTCAGCATGGGACTTGATCCTAGGACCCCAGGATCATGACCCAAGCTAAAGGCAGACACTTTTTTTTTTTTTAAAGATTTTATTTATTTGACAGAGAGAGAGACAGCGAGAGAGGGAACACAAGCAGGGGGAGTGGGAGAGGGAGAAGCAGGCTTCCTACTGAGCAGGAAGCCCGATGCGGGGCTCGAAACCAGGACCCCGGGATCATGACCTGAACTGAAGGCAGACGCTTAATGACTGAGCCACCCAGGCACCCCTAAAGGCAGACACTTAACCAACTGAGCCACCCAGGTGCCCCAGATTTGTGTGATCTTTAAGGAGAAAACAATTCAAATATATGAAGGTTGTTTAAAGAAAACAAAGAAATGGAAAGATCTATCAGACCATGGATAGAAAGGCTCAGTTTCTTAGAGGTGCAGTCTCCCCAAAGTAGTCCATAAAATCAATGCAATTCCAATAAGAAATAAAGGCAGAGTGTTTTTTATGGGTTGCCAAAAGCTGATGCTAAAATTAAGAGAACAAAATGAAAGAGTAAAAGCAAACAAGATGACTTTGAAAGTTAAAAGGGGAGAGAAGGCTAGACTTACCAGATAACCAGACTTTGTGTAGAGCTTTCGCAATGAAGGCAGGGCGAGGAGGCAGTAGACAGAGAGGCCAGTGCAACAGGGAAGAGTGCTGGGAAACAGACCCTGGTCCATACAGAGACAGCGTACCTGTCAGGGGGCGCTGTGGGCGAGTAGCCAAGGGGTGCCTTCTGCAGGAAATAGTACTGGGACCCTTGGTTGTGCATATGGAGAAAGCGTGTCACTGGAACTTGGCCTCACAGCAGACACAACTGGGTTAAAGACCCGACGTGGAAGTGACACTTCAAAATGTTTAGAAGAAAATACAGAATACTTGTATGATCTCAGGAGGGGAAGGTTTCTTAAAATACGAAATATATGTCGTGAAAAAATGGTTTGGTTCATTTGATTCCATTAAGATTTTAAACTTCTGTTCATCAAAAGATCATTGAAAAGGTGAAAACGTAAGTCAGCATCAGAGAAGGTATTTGTAACACATATAACAGGTAAAGAATCAGGATTCAAAATATCTGAAAAATTGATTGTTGTGCAGGCCAATAAGAAAAAAAATCCAGCAGAGAATTTGGCCAAAGATAAGAAACAGGCAGTTTACAATTTAAACATATAAAAAGATGTCCAGCTTCATTAATTAGGGAAATGACAAATAAAATAAAAAGTAAGATACCATTGCATATTCATCAGACTGACAAAAATGGAGAAGTTCAACAGAGGGAATTGTTGGTAAGCTCTTAAAGCAGTAGAAACATTGTGGTATTAAATTGGTACAATAGCTTCAGAAAACACATCTCACTATCCAGTGAAGTTGAAGGTGCTCATATCCTACAACTCGCTAATTCCACTTCTAGGTCTGTAACCGAGGGAAGTTTTACACATGGATATGATAAACTGTACACCAATTACTCACCCTTTTTGTCCTGTTATGCTGTTTGTAATAGTAAAAATTACCAACAAGCCAAATATCACCCAATGGGTAACTAGATAAATGAATTACACTATTTTCATGAGTGGTATTGCTACATAGTAGTAAAACTATAAACTAGGTTTACACATATCAACATTGATGAATCTCATAGTTTTATTTATTTTTAGAGGTATTTATCCATTTAGGGGTGCCTGGGTGGCTCAGTTGGTTAAGCATCTGCCTCCAGCTCAGGTCATGATCTGGGGTTCCTGGGATTGAGCCCAGCATAGGGCTCCCTGCTCAGCGGGAAGCCTGCTTCTCCCTTCCCCCCGCACCCCCCCCCCCCGCACCCCGCTCGTGCTCGCTCTCTTTCTTTCTCTCTCTCCTCTTCCCTTTGACTCCACACCATCCCCCAGTCCAGTCCGGTCTAAATCTCCCCTCTTGCTGGGTGACTGTGAGAAATCATTCTCCTGCTATCTGTCTCTTCCTCCCTAAGCCACCCCCCACTCGCCCTTCTTGCCAGCTCCCCGCCAGTCTCTTTTCCATCGAGATCTCTTAAAAATGTAAGTTAGCTCATATCTCTCCCTTGCTCAGAATCCTCCAAGGTGGAGGTTCAAATCCAAAGCTCTCACCAGGTCTTCCTACGTGGCCTGCCCCTCCAGCAGCATCTCCTGCTCTGCTTGCCCCTTTCTGTTCTAGCCATGCTGACTTTGCTGTTCTTTGAACAAACCGTTTCTCACCTGAACGCCCTAGTACTTGCCATTGGGGAACTTTGTCCCAGTTTTTATTATGGCTCCATTCCAAGGCCTCTACTCACCGCCTTTTCTTTCTTTCTTTTTTTTTTTTTTAAAGATTTTATTTATTTATTTGATGGAGAGAGACACAGCGAGAGAGGGAACAGAAGCAGGGGGAGTGGGAGAGGGAGAAGCAGGCTTCCTGTGGAGCAGGGAGCCCAATGTGGGGCTCGATCCCAGGACTCTGGGATCATGACCTGAGCCGGAGGCAGACGCTTCACCGACTGAGCCACCCAGGCGCCCCCACCGCCTTTTCTAAAATAGCTGCCACGACTCTCCCTCCCCGACCTGACCAGTCCTTCTATCTCCTTTGGCTGTCTCTTCTACTCCCCTTCCTTCCTACCCGGTATTATATTATCTGTTATTTGTTTGAGCCTTCACTTCTGTCTCCCCCTACTAGATCATATGCTTCCTGGGGGCTGAACATTTTCTGTCTTATTCATTGTTATGTTTTCCCTACAACAGTTCTTGCTTGGCTCATGGGGCTGCTTAATCAAAGCTGCTTCAGTGAATGAATGCACTGATAACGAAGAGAAAGTTTTATCACTTAAGAAGTACCTTTTGGTAAAATCAAAGCCACTGGAGTTGTAGATGCATGAGAAGAATTTGAGTAAGATTATTTCATAAAGTATAGAAGTAGGAAAAAAGCAGACTGTTCCTCAGAAACAGTTAACTGATTTTCAGTGTGTGTGATGAATGGATGAATATTAGTAGATATTTCAGTATTTCATCTCTGCTCCAAAAAGTTTGGATATTCAGGTTGGCCAGAAAACTCCTGGGATCTTCTCTTTGGGAAAGATTATTTTTAGGTTACCTGAGGTGTTCAGTTGACTTAGACCGGGGTCTAGATGGCCATTCTGTCTTCCAGTCAGTCCGTCATTCTCAAGCACCCTGGGTGTGACCTAGCCCCAGGCTTAGGGCTGCAGGGAGGGAAGATGCAGAAGGGGAAGAGAATCAGACACACTGTGTGTCCGCTGGGTGCCTGTGACCCTGCCCGGGTTTCTCTCTCACGTGGGTGACTGGGGAGTGCCCTCCCCCTGAGATGCACACAGCCGATCTGGTGCCTCAGGCAGGGAGAGGGCAGAATGATGGGGTTCTGCAGCTTGGCCTGACCCTCTGACCCTCGGCTCCCCCGCAGGTCTCTGAGCTGGTCTTTGTGTCCATCTATAGCTCCGAGTTCTGCATGAAGCTCTACGTGGACCCCATCAACTACTGGAAGGATGGCTACAACCTGCTGGATGTAATCATTATCATCACTATCTTCATCCCCTACAGTCTCCGCAGATTCAAGGGCAAGCACTACCCCTACCTCAACATTGCTGATGGCATGCAGTCCCTGCGTATCCTCAAGCTTATCACTTATAGCCGTGGCATCCGGGTGAGTGGCCTGGGGGTGCCGTGCTCTGGGAGTGCAGGGGCCTGTGTGCCCACCAGCCCCTGAGGAAATCATCATTCTACCACCACCATCCAGTTATTGAATCCTACTGTATGGCAGGTTGATCTTTACCAATGTTACCTCATTTCATCTTAAAACAATTGAGGAAGGGTATCATTGGCTCTATTTTACAGATGAAGAAACTGAGACCCATGGTTACTCAGCAGTTAGATGCCACCCTGAGATCTGAAAGGTGTGGCTGACTCCAGGGGCCATGCAAACGTTTCCTCTCTCCCATACTACCAAAGGGACTGACTTTCTTATGGTACTACAGTCCCAGGAGTCTCTAGCTCCTTGGTGGTGCTGGCCTCTCAATTTCAATTATATGCTTTCCCCGTACAGCTAAAAATCTGCTGCTTCTCTTGATGGGACTGGTCTCGTTACTTTGTTCAGGCAGCTCTAGGAATGGTGCTCCTGCTGAGAGGTCATGGGGTGACCAGTCTTTCTTTGGCTCAGGAGGTTTCAGAAAACTCCTCATAGCAGACCCAACCTGCCCTGAAGCATCCGTCCTGGGCACAGTATGTTTGCTCTGGCTCTGTGCCCCATGTCCATGCTTCTCCAGGAAGGGGATGCCTTGGACCCATTTGACCAGCTCGGGTGTGTGTCAGCCTGTTTTGCTGAGAGATTGCCCCTAGCCCAGCCTGGACGTCTGTCTGGGACCTCGGCCCTACACTTAGCAGCCCCAGGCCTGGGGGACGAGATGAGGACAATGTTGAAGAGTTCCCCCTGCCACAGACCCCTGTTCATTCATTGCATGCTCTCATGTAGTCACATGCCTGTGGGTCCCCTCCCAGACAGTGGAGGCCAGGCCTCCTGTCCTTCCCTTAGTGGTGCGGCTCCTGGAAAGAGGTGGCCATAACTCCTACTCCTCACTTCCTTACCTGTCATTTGTGCCCTGGCTTCTTCCCTCCAAAGGAACTAGCCTCTCTGAGGTAGTCAACAACCTCCTTGTCACCAAGTCCATCGGCCAATTCCATTGGCACCCCGTCACTGCCTTCTCTTAGGGTTCCTCCAGCCTCTTGAGCTCGATGTCTTGGGTGCGTGCTGTTTTCTCAAGACTATACCCCAAGTTCTCTTCACCCGCCCCACCCTGCATATCCTCTTTGGGTGATCTTTTCCACGTTTCAGGGGTCTTCACCTTGCCCACGCTTCTCTCTGACTCCAGACGCACGGCCTCTCATGTGCTCCTCAAACCCATCCCGTCTGAGCTGGAAGTCATCACTCTCCCCCACCCTCGCCTCCCCAGACCCCGGCCCCTCCTCCTGTGTTGTGTCTTTTTGTGAAGGCTGCACCCCACCCCCATTCAACAGCCAGGTCATAAATTTGAGCGTCAGCATTGACGCCTCTGTCTTAAAGTCCTGGTGTGTGGCCTCCTATGTAGTTAGTGACCCGTCCTCATCTTTTCTCCATCAGCACTCACCTTCATCAGGATTCCCGCACTGGCTTCCCACACTCCTGAGAGGGCCCTGGGGCAGGAATGCCCCTGCAGCTGGGGAGAATCTTTAAAGGGTACATCAACTCGTGGCAGCCTTCCTTTCAAACCTGAGAGTGGCTCCCCTTGTTTGTGGCTAGAGATAGACCCTATAATGTGTCCTAGAAGCGGGGGAAGGGAGCGTCAGAGGTGCCAGACATTGGAGTCCATGGCAGGTAGGGATGGTGGCAAGGTGGGTGGACAGGAAAGAGGACTGGAGGTCCTTGGGAAGTGGATGCTGGGTGATGAGGACCTCAGACTGAGACAACAGTCAGACAGTTGGAAGTATAGGCTGCTTTTTGCAGGTGTTGGGCACCAAAGGAGCAGGAGCTGAAAGCAGTGCAAGGGTCACTGGGGATGAGGGAGTCAAGGGACAAAGAGGCCTGGGGGATGGTTGATATTCCATAGGGGTGCTGAAGGCCCCGAGGACGATAGCAGCATGGCGTGGAGCCTGGAGGCAGAGATCCCAAGACACGAGGGGGTGTGGTTAGCTAGAAGGCTGGCTCTTTCTGGAAGGAGGGGCTTTGCCCATGGAGGTAGCATTTCTGAGGGTGAGGCAGGGGTGGCCTCCTCAATCAGGCCAGTGGGGACTAGGCAGCCTCCCTTGAGCTGGCTACTGAGGAGTGATGTCCTGCCGAGGAGCGGGTTTTCAGGTGAGGCCAGGAAAGAGGTCACCATGGAACGAAGGTGGCAGAGACCTCCAGGAGGCATGTGAGGAAGGAGGATGATGGCTGTGGGCTGAGGGAAAGGAAGCCCAGGGCTTCATGGGGAGGAGGGAGCCATATGGGACTGGGGTCTGGGGGAGGGCCAGTGACCGAGCCTGGCACCTTGTCAAGCTGAGGGCACGAGCTGTCTGCCGAGTACATCGTCTTGGCTCTGTCGTGGCAGCCTGGTCTGAAAGAGCCTGAGGTTTAGGGCCTGGCAGGGACACCCCATCTTTCCAGGGCAGCGATCTAGTGATGAGAAGACAGCCCTCCCTGCTGGCCAAGGTCTGTCCCAGGGCTCAGCCTGGCTTGCTTGGTGACTGCAGACCTTTGTTCAGCCTTTGGTTCTTGTAGACATGAACAGAGACCCATGGACATGCAGACAGAATATTCACACAGACATCCATGGCCCATGTTTGACCTCAGGGGTTTCTGTCATTCAGCAGAGCCTTGCATCCCAAAGTTGTTCCCTGGGGACGACCAGGCCACTTGGCTGTGGCTCACCTATGGCCTTCGGGATATCATAGGACCCCAGATCCCTAGGGGCAGAGAAGTGACTCTAGATCACACAGCCTCTGTACATTGGCCAGGTGGGGCTGGAGGTGCCAGAGGTGGGACCCGTACCTCTGCTAATTTATATTCACTGAAATCATAGCCTCAGAGCCCACAGAGCTGGCACTCTGGCACATTCCTGGGTCCTGTCCCCTGATGAATTAAAATGACACTCTCTGCCCCCACTCAGGGCAATAAACCTATACGGTGAGGGAATAGTTCCGTGTTGTTTTGCACACAGACAGGGTCTGTGGGCTGGGCAGCCGAGGGCCACACTGCCCCTGTTCCTCTGCATTTCAGCCCAAAGAACAACCTTCCGGTGCGGGACTCCTGCCCCTTGGAGCTCATCACCTTCCCTGCCCTGCCTCTAGCTCTTCCCCATAGCCTGAGTGCCTCGGGGCCAGGAGGACAGCTCCAGCTTGACCCAGAGCCCGGGAGAGCTGAACTAGGGGCGATGAATTGCTTCCCCAAAGAAAGAGTCTGGGAATTCAAAATCAGGCACCTTTGAAAGCCCCGGATTTCCTCGGGAAGGAGCTACCAGCCTGTGGGGTTTGGGGCAACCATCTGCTGGGATTGGATTTCCATACCTCCGGACTGCAGACTAACGGGGCCTGCCTGGACTCTGCTCCAAGAACATTGTCAAGGCCAGCCGTCAGGAGTCCCACGTGTCAGGGCTTCTGGAGAGCAGGACTTCTCCTCCACTGTTCTCCAGGCTGCTTGGCTTTGGCCTCAGGTCGCACTGGGCTTCGGGCTGGCCTAGAAGTGGGACCCCCAGCTTGAGAATGTCCTCCCCATTCTCCGATGCTCCGGGTTCTCCCGCTCGGGGCTGCCCCTTTCCTGCCTGCCTGGGCAGGCCTCTTCTGCGGACTGCGTCCCAGGGTAGTGTTTCTCATGAGTGCTTGCCTCTTCCCTCTCAGTCGTCTTGGGAAAGAAGTTCTGTCTCTGTCTCGCAGGGAGGGAGGCGGTTTTGTACATCTCACCTCTTCTGGAATGAATCCCCAAACCCTGATTCTCTTCCCCCAAGGAGAGGGACGCATTCCCCTCTGCCAGGAGCTGTCCAGCCAGTCCACGTGCAGCACCAGGGCTCTCTGCTGGTCTTTCCGCTTCCCAAGTCATCCCATACTGTCAGCGCTTCACTGTCCCAGGGCTCAGCTCTCTCCAGTATTTCTGTTCTAGTGTGAAGCCAATAAACAGTTTCTTGACCTGGAGAAGGGGGCCCTAGTGGGTGAAGTTGGTGGCACAAGGCAAAGGGCTCAGGAGTTGGTCCTAGCTCTGCCGCTATACTGGCCAAGACTTCTTGCTTTTCTGAGCCTCTGCTTCCTCATCTTGAAACGTGACAGATGATAATGCCCACCTGCTTTAAAATGATATCCGTGGCAGCATCTAGGTAGGTGACCGTGTCTTGAGCACCAAGTGCATGCAAGACTCTGGGGTGTGGAGAATGAACAATGAGGAGCCATACGCTGTGCTCCCCAGGAGTGGTCAACATAGTGGGAGGCCAGACAGATGCCCACTTCCTAGGGGATGACTGAGGTCATGGGATGGAGACCTACCTGTGGAACAGGACCCAGAAAGAATGGGAAGCCATGCTCCCCTCAGCTTTCATCATTCCCATACCCGGGGTAGCTCTGCTACTTCTCCTGGGCTTGGCAGAGCATGCAGAGCTGGCCCTCAGCTGAGAGGTAAGAGCAGACACCTTGGGATGACCCAGAGGCAGGCCCGGGCTCAAGTGGAGTGGCTAGTGGTGCTGCTGGGGAGACACCCAGGCCTGAGGACCATCTGCCCATGGCTGACTGATGGTGGGGCCAGGCACTGCTCAACCACTATTGTGTTGGTCCAGCCCTCAGTCTGGGCACAGTTCCCATCCATCCATCCATCCATCCATCCATCCATCCATCCAACCCTTTATGGGGCCTGGCACTGGTTGCTGGGGCCAGCTGGGGTGTGGGCAGACTGGACCTGTCCGCTGAGCCCCACTCAGCCTGGCAGCCTGGCCTAGCCCCAGTGCTTCTGCCTTGTAGACACTCATCACTGCCGTGGGGCAGACAGCCTACATCGTGGCCTCCGTGCTCTTCCTGCTCTTCGTCCTCATGTTCATCTTCGCTATCTTGGGCTTCTGCCTGTTTGGACTTCCAGACAGGGGTGATCAGAATAACTGGGGGAACCTGGCTGTGGCCTTCTTCACCCTCTTCAGCTTGGCCACGGTACTGTGTTTGGGAACAAGGGTGGGGGCAGGGGCCTTAAGAAGGGAATGCTAGGGGTGCCTGGGGGGCTCAATTGGTTAAGTGACTGCCTTCGGCTCAGGTCATGATCCCAGGGTCCCGGGATTCGGCCCCACGTCAGGCTCTCTGCTCCGTGGGAAGCCTGCTTCTCCCTCTCCCTCTGCTGCTCCCCCTGCTTGTGCTCTCTCTCTCTGTCAAATAAATAAAAAAAATCTTTAAAAAAAGAAGAAGAAGGGAGTGCCAGTTGGTGTGGCTGTGTGGACAGGCTGGGCCTTACATGGGGTCTTCCTCATGTTCAGGTACTTAGCTGGGCTGGGGAAGCTAAAGGCTGGCCTCCCAGGACTAAGCCAGGGCCCTGGCCAGGGTTCCATTCCTCTCTCTGATCTTGTGACTCCTTAGAGCATTCCCATTTGTCCCACAGGGCTGTAAAACTTTCAAAGAGTTCTCAAAAGATAACTCATTTGGATCAAGTTTACTTTAGAAATGAAACCCATGTCACATAGGCTTTCTGGGACTAGGCTGAAGTTGCCTGCAAAGCCCAAGTCCAGAAAGAGAGACTCTGGGGTCTTTCTAAAGGAGAGTCTTGCAGAGGAAGGATGGGAGGGTGGGCTTTTGGAGAAGAGCCCCCAGGGCACCTTGGCCAGTAGTATCTGTACCCCATGGAGCCTTGCGTCCCCAGCCGCATGCATGGGCTGGAGTCATTGGAAGGGGGCGGTGGTGAGGGGCTGCTGTAAGGCAGAGCCAGCTGCGTCCTCAGGGGGGCTGGGGCTGCCCCGCGGGGCCTTGGCACCCGGCACACCCTGCCGTGCCCACGCAGGTCGATGGCTGGACAGACCTGCAACAGCAGCTGGATAGTCGCAACTTGGCTCTCAGCCGGACGTTCACCATCATCTTCATCTTGCTTGCCTCCTTCGTCTTCCTCAGTATGTTCGTGGGTGTGATGATCATTCACACTGAGGTGAGGCTGCACTTGTAAGGACGGGGGGGTCGGCTTGGATGTGGCAGGCGGAGCCGTAGGCCCAGTCTCCAGGGAGGCGAGGAGGTGGCTCCGTGGGCCCTCCCTTGCCCAGCCCCGCTCTTCTCCCTGGGCCAGGGCATTTCCCTGCCTCGTGATGGCGGTCAGCAAGAAGGGGGGCTTGCGGGGTCCCTGCAGCTGCAGAGGGCAGCTTGAGTTGGGGGCCGGCCCTGCATGGAGGGGGCTCCTCCTGCTGAGGAGCAATGCAAGGCTAGGGAAGAAGGCAGATGGGGGGGGGTGGTATGCCGTGAGAGCCTGCAGCTTACCTCCGTCTTCCCCCTCTCTAGGACTCCATCAAAAAGTTTGAGCGGGAGCTGTTGGCGGAGCGGCACATGACGCTCATGGAGGAGAAGCAGGTGATTCTAAAGCGGCAGCAGGAAGAGGTCAGCAAGCTGATGCAGATGCAGGTGGGCCATCTCCCGGCAGGTGGGGAAACAGGCCCATGGACAAAGAGGGCCTTGGGGCCAGTGTGGACGGTAGGTGGTGTCAGCCATCTCTGGTCTCAGGTAAGGCAGGTTCTGATGCCCTGGGTTTTCCACAGTTGGGCTTTATTCTCTACATTTTTGTATATGTCTGGACCTCTGAGAGAGTTGAGTACTGTAGTTATAGTTTCTCCCTTCTTCCGGGGCACAACTCCACTGCCAGGCCTTCTGCCTGGAATGCTCTTAAAATCTTTTTTTTTTTTTTTAAAGATTTTATTTATTTATTTGAGAGAGAGAGAATGAGAGACAGAGAGCATGAGAAGGAGGAAGGTCAGAGGGAGAAGCAGACTCCCTGCCGAGCAGGGAGCCCGATGCGGGACTCGATCTCGGGACTCCAGGATCATGACCTGAGCCGAAGGCAGTCGCTTAACCAACTGAGCCACCCAGGCGCCCTGGAATGCTCTTGTTACTCATGCTCCCTGGTCGTCAGGCAGCCATAGGCCCTGTCCAGTGTGTGGGGTGAGGCCATGGAGGTCCTGACAGGTGCTACTCAACTCCGGTTTTTCTAAAGTGGAACGAGGATGAGCATAGCAGGCTGGAGATCTTCTGTCAAGCATGATACACCTGTGAAAGCCTGGGGGTGAGCCTTCTTTTTTCAGCCTAAGCTCTCCGAGCTCCTCAGGCTGGGTGCTGGGTGCTCTGCTGGGTCCTGAACCCCTGCCGCTCCTCCCCTCTGCAGCCAGTGCATCCCTCCTGAGCCCCTTCTCTGAGCTGGAGTCATCTACCTGTCTTGGCTGTGCCCGAGTTTGTGCAGGGCAGGGTGAGACCACGCCGAGCCACACACACTCAGGCTCTCACTGGTTCCTTTCTGGGTCACCTGTCCTCATGTCAGTGATGGTGGCTCACAAGGCTGCTGTGGTCAGGGGGGCCAAGGCTTGGAGGGAGTCGGGTGAACCTGTGATTCGGTGCAGGACTTACCCTGGGGCTGGGGTCAGGCCTTTGCCTGGGCCTCTCGTGAGGGGTTCCTGTGCCTTCCTCTTCACTGCCCTCTTTATGCTTCCCTCTCTAGAAAAATGCTGACTACAGAAGTTTCAGTGAGCTGGTAGAGAACTTCAAGAAGACCCTGCGGCACACTGACCCCATGGTCCTGGATGATTTTGGCACCAGCCTGCCCTTCATCGATGTCTATTTGTCCACTCTGGACAACCAGGACACTACGATCTACAAGTCAGTACCCACCCCGCTGCCCCTGGCCCTGGAGACCAGGCCTTTCCTGGTCCCTAGGCTTCCTTCAGGGTGGGGCCATGGCAGGTGCCATGGGAAAGCAGGGGGACGGTGGCCTGTTTGCAAGTGGCTGAAGTGAGGCCCTTCCTGGGCGTGCAGGACTCCCTGTGTGCACGGGGGCTGCATTGCCGTGTGGACAGGCCTGTTGCTCAGGGACCTCTGCTCCCCTGGGCCTCCCTGACCTGCTCTCACTGGCCTTGAAGTGCTGGGTTGGACTCTTCGGGCCCCTCCTCACTACTCACTTTTCAGAAGTCGGACGAAAGAGCACTGATTGGCAAGGCAGGAGCTGAGGCTCCTGGCCTTGTTCTGCTACGACCTTCCTTTGTGACTCTGGGGAGGCCCCTGCCCCCTTTCCACCTGTCACCTGAGGGCTGATGCTCCAAACGCAGTGTGGGGGGCTTTGAGTTGGCCCGGCCCAGGGCTGTGCTCCGTGTGCTTTAGCTGGAGTTATACCTGACCATTAGTGAGCAGGAAGGGGAGGGGCATGGGCACTAAGGAGTCACAGGGGGCTCCTGAGTGAGGACGGACACCAGGAGGCTGGCTTCATGACCGAAGCCTGCTGGAGGGCTTCACAGACTGGAGGAACTCAAAGGAGGGGGTCAGGGAACCTCCACATTTCGCCGAAGAGTGGGCCAGGTAGTGTCTGGTCACCTCCACATAGTCACCTCATTGACAGCCCAGGATTTGGTGTCTCCAACCTGACACGTGTGTTGAAATACCTTACTCCGGGGAACACGGGTAGAGCAGCGGCCCCGGATTCCAGCTGACCCGACCTGGCTCTACAGTCCTTGCTCTTCCCTGCACCCACACCTACCAGGCGTGCGGACATGCAGTGGGCAGGGCTCAGGTGGCGTGGAGCCCACGTTGAGCCCAGGCCCCCTCCCCCTGGTTCCACTTCCAGGCTTCAGGAGCTGTACTACGAGATCGCGCACGTGTTGAGCCTGATGCTCGAAGACTTGCCGCAGAAGAAACAGTCCCAGTCCTCTGAAAAGGCTGATGAGAAGTAGGGGGGGGGCGTGGGCACCCAGGCACCGAGGTGCCTCGCAAGCCGTGACAGGCCCTCGTTCAACACAGGCTTTCTGAATTGCCCTCTCTGCAGTTGCTTAAGCTTGTGGTATTTCCCAGCCGTGGGGGGTTGGGCCTGGGAAGAGCCCATGAAGTCCGATTGACTGCCCCCCCTCAACATGATACAGCCAGGCCTGGGGAGTAGGGGGAGGGATACTCAAGACTTGCCCTTGGCCAGACGCCATGTCCAGGGGCCACACTGGCTCTCTCCTCCCTTGACCCCAGCAGCGAGGACTCCCTGGGCTCCTGGGAAAGCCACCTGAGGACTCCAGACCAAGAAGGGCCTCCAGCAGCCCCATATGGCTCCTTTGAGCTGGGGTAGCCTCACTGATCTTGGAACCTCTTAAAGCTGGGCTCCTCTTTGTGGGTGCCCCACCCCAGGCAGAGCAACATTTCTCTCTATGCACCTCCTCCCGTGGGGACCTGTCTTTGGAAGCTGACTGCTTTTCTCTAGGCTCACAGTGGTCGTGATGCCCCAAAGGGTGCAGGGGGCACCTCCTAGAGGGGTCAAAGGAGCAGCAGTATTGGGCACTTTGGGCTGTTGGTTAGTTAGGACTTTTCACTTGAAAGGTGGCATTTTCGGTGTCATTCCTGGCCACATGGCTAGCAGAGTTGCGACACTCCCTTGATCCGGCCATGATGGCATCTTCTGAAGACACGGGGCGGGGCGGGCAGGGTTGGCTGACACCCCTTTGTCCCTGACTGGCCAGGCCAGAGGCCCTGCGGTGCCCCTCTGCTCCCACTGCTGGGGGCTGTTCTCGAGGCCCATTCCTTTAGCAGGGCCCCATCTGACAGAAGGAGGACGGAGTTCTGGGCAGAGCTTGGGCGGCGGGGGACACCAGCACCTACAGTTGAGGGAAAAAAAGCCCCAGACCCACAATGGGGAGTTGGGTCAGCAGAAAACATGGGGGGTAAAATTGAGAGTGGTTGGACAAAGGGTCCCCTGTGTGGACCCACGGTCTCCGGGCACAGGTGACAACTCTTCCAAGGCCATGGGACAAGGGCACTTGGAAACCTTTCCTCGTGTTTTTGTTCATACATCCAACTACTATTTACTGAGCTGGGCCGGGTGCTGGGGGTGCTGTCATGAAAACCCACAGTCCAGTTCTGGTCCTCTTGGGGCGCTCGGTTGTGTAGAGGAACCAGTAATCCAGCCAGACTGGATGAGAGAAATTTCCCTAAGGAAGTGACAGTTGTTTGCACGCAGAGAGCACGTGTCTTCTAAGAGACTCAAATCATTGCCATTTGCAAATGTTCACACTCACATCGTGTAAAAATGCAGAGAAGTCTTGCTCTGGAGAGTGAGACCCGCCACCATGTTATCGGGGAGCCCTCCGAGGGCAGGGGTGATAGCCTCGTTTCCCGAGGCGCAGAAAACTTCATGCCAGTGCCCCTGTGGGGGGGGGGTGGCGGGGGTGGTGCTGAAGTATGCAGGTTGTGGGTGCCCTTCGCGGAGCGGGGAGAGGCCCAGGGCTTTATGCCTGTGGTGCCTGGCTGGGAAGGCTGGGGGCTTCCATGGCCGCTCTGAGGGTGGAGCCCCCTCTGTAGGACAGGCCTCGGGGCCAGGGCTCTGGTCCAGGCGTGGGGCAAAGCAAACACGGCCGGCTGCTCGCACGGCTGTGGACGCTGTTGGCATTGCTGTGTGCCTACGTTGCTCGGGAGGATATGAAAACACATTCCCCCGCTCTCACCAGGAATCCCAAGAATTGCCTTAGGCCCCTGGAAGTGAACAAAAGATTAAAAAAAAAAAAAAACTTGGACTCAGAGAGGTAAGTTGGAAAGTGCCACGGTTTTGGAGTGGGGAGGTCTGGATTCCGTAACTGGGTGACCTTGGACAAGGTGCCACATCTTCTGAAAACACAGCTATTTCCTCTGAGAAATGGGCTGATAAAACTGACCCACTCTGAGGACCGAACGAAATACATGTGAGAGCGTGAAGAAAGCTGGAGGCAGCGGTGGCCGGAGCTTCCTTGCCGTCGGCTCTGCCTCTGCTGGGCGACCAGCCACGGCGGGCCATGCTGGTCAGGGGCCGAGAAGGCCTGGGCCAGCCTCAGGGCGGCAGGGAGGACAGTATGGCATCGAGAGCGGGAAGCAGAGGTCAGGAACCGGTGTTGGGGGTGCGCGGTGAAGGGGTCTCCATGGGGAGCTGGCACGGAACGACCTGGAACGCCTGGGTTCCCACAGGGAAGCCCCGGGCACGGGGCTCTGGGCCACGGTGGGGAGGGCCAGCTGCCTTTAAGGGCACAAGCAGTAGGCTGTCACTGAGCAGGGAGCTGGGAGAGGGTGATGTGCAGAGGGCTGGCCCAGCGCTGGGGGCAGAACAAGCCAGCGGGTATTTGGCGCAAAGTCCCAGAGCAGCATTTCTGTTTGGCTCTATTCGTCTGCAGAGCAAACATTGACAGATTGGAATTCCCACTTGGGCTCTCACCAACTCAAACAGGCTTGGCCATGACTTTCAATTGATTTGCTTGGGGCAGAAGTGCTCTGCCTGCCCAGGCCTGGCTGAGGAAAGCAGGACCCTTCTCACCAGCCCCCAGCCCTTGGGTCCAGCAGAGCTGTCCCCAGATGGCTCTTTCCTCTCCATCCTGTCAGCCTGGCGGTTTGGTAGCTGCACTGGGATGCAGGGGACCTGGGCTTGAGTTTTTTGGTCACACTCAGGCCCTCCCCTAGCTCCTGTGGGAAGGATCTGGAATTCAAGGCTGGGGGTGTTTGGAAGGTGGCCGGATTTTTTTCTTTTAAACTGCTTGTTGATTCCACCAGCAGGAAGCAGTCCCTATATTATGGCGATCCAGGCAGTGAAGGAGAATATAAACTCTATTTATTCCAACAGCCCCTAGAAATCCTACACAGAGATGCTGAGAACTGCACACCTTGTGTTTCATCAAATGTGGGTGAGACAGAACACCTCCTAATTCAAAGGGCCCTTTACTCAGTCAGACTTCGCTGTCAGTGGTCTCTCTCCCTATTTTGGTCTCTGTCCCTGGCCCCAGCTTGCCTGGGCCTGCTCTCTTGGTTCACAGGCTCTCAAGAGAGAGGATAGCTCTGAATTCTTAAGTAGGCTGCCCAGAAGGGAGAGGCGATGGCTGCCAATACGAGTCCCAGGGCTTTGGAAATGACGAGATGGGGGCTAAATATGATGGAGACAGATTTACTACCGTGTGAGTGCCCCGCTCCTCCCCACATTCCGCACCCCCCCACCCCCGGAGCTCTGTCTGTGCTGGTCAGCCCCACGCCTCACCATCCCCGAGTTCTCTCTTTGATTTTACTCTAGACTCTGGGTGACACAGTGCTGGGGGAGTGGGGGAGAGCCAGGATGGGACAGGAGAGAGAGGAAAGAGGAGAATTCGTGCTCTCTTGATCTCCTCCGTGTTGGAGAGTCAGGGTAATGGGCAAAACAGAGAGCAAATGAGGAGACCAGTCAGTTTTGATGGGTCTACATAATCAGGAGCTGGGACAGGGAGGGAAGAAGGAAGTAAAAGCCGAGGGCCAAGAGTCAGAGACTTTTAGACAGAGGTTCTGACCCAGATGGAGTGTGAGGCTTGCAAAGGGGAGAAATGGGGATGACAGGTGTCCTTGGGGGGTGAGAACTGGGTCCTCACTGATGTTCTTTGAGAGAGGCAAGTCATGGTTGGAATCATTTAAAGATGATTTTTGGTTGCTGACTGTGCCTTTAAAAAAAATGGAACCCCCTGAATGGATTTGACCACGTGGAATCTGGATTATATTCAGGTGGCCTAAAGATCACACTGTATAATAGAGACCTCTCAGGCTAAAATTGGGAAATGTTAAGAGGGCTTTACAAACGACCACCTGAACCCCCAAATGGGCTCAGAGGCCTGTAGGTGAAGCACCCCTGGGGGTGGTGGCACAATGTGTGGCTGGCCTTTTGCAAAATGAAACCAAAGTCTCAAAAGAAAGTGCAGAAGAAGCCGAAGGGGGATGAAGAGTCTGTCCTAGAACTCTTGGGACACTGGGGACTGACCCCATGCTCTGTACACTGGTGATGGGACAATGATGTTCTCACAGCGGGGTCCCCCCCTGCCCCACAGTTCAGCACATGTGGCCCTGGACTCCCTCCTTTCCCAGCGGTGCCTTGACACCTAGAATGGTAGTCTGAGATGAGAAGACCTCTTCACAATTTGCCACTGGACCAGGGGAGGATGTGTCCGAGCAGAGTTCAGGCCCAGGCTCCGAAGGTACAGTCCGTTCTCGTTGCTGACAGTGGAAACACCACCTTCTGTTTTGTCGGCATTTCTGCCTGCGAGATACTTTCACATACATGATCTGAATCATGTCATGACACTTAGGTATTTTTCATGATTCCCATTAAACAGGCGGTAAAACTGAGGTTTGGAAAGGTGATGGAGCCCCCAGGTCTGTACAACTAAGGAGGAAGAGCCAGGATTCGCAGCCATGCAGTGTGGCTTTTGCTCTCCCACAAAGCTGTGCACCGATCTTGTAAGGAATTGTTAGCTCCATTTTACAGGTGGGTAAGCAGGCACCCACAGGGACCATCACTTGGCCAGGATCATCATTAAAGGGCCGAGTCAGGATTTGAATGCAGGCCATACATGTACCCACTGCTCTACAGCCTCCCAGTGACCTTGGTCTTTCTTTTCAGAGCTATTTTTTGAACGTTAGAACTCAAGCCCTGAATGCCTTCCGAGCAGGCCCCGAGTCTGCAGTCTGTTGACCCAGTGTCCACTGGCTTGGCTCTGGGAGCCTCAGAGATGGAGAGCACAGCAAGAAGCAATCGGTGCACACGGATGGGTTGTGACTACAGTGCCTAATCAGGAAATTACAGCCTGGGCAGCAGAGGGTTTGGCTTAGAAGTCACCCTTCCGTGGGTTTCAGTGAAGCCAGCCCGCATGGAGGCTTGGCTGGCAGAAGGGATGTGCTGGGCAGGTGTGAGCTCGGCAGGCAGGATAAGCCAGCCTTGTCAGTGCTGTGCCCATACCCAGAAAGTTGGTCTTTCAGGTGGTGACCTTGAGGTCGGTCCTTTCTGGCTCTCTGCCTGCCTCTGCACCCATAGGTAACTCATCAGCAAGGGTAGAAGCTGTGGGCACCCAAAGGGGGCACTTTGTGAGTCTCTTGGCTTGAGTAGCTGGCTTTTCCCCTGACCCTGGAATGAGCATGCAGAAAAGGAGTGGAAATTGGCAGATGGGAAAAGCCAGTGGTAGAACTGTACGTACATGACACCCTCTGTATTTTTTTTTTTTTTTTGGAAGAGGAGAAATAAATAAAACCACATATACAAAGTGGCCATAAGATATCTGTTCTCTTCCAGGTGGCAAAGATGATAGACAAAAGCTAGTACGGCCAGTGTATGAAGAATGGGCCCCCTTGTCCATGTCTGGCAGCACCCATAGGCGTGGCCTTCTCCGTGGTCTTCTCCATGACAGCATGGATGGGATTTTATGTGTGCGTTCCTGGGGCTCGCCAGATCTGTTCTTGCAGTTACCCTGATGTCCCAAATGACCAGTGCACAGAGAGCATGGATAAGGATGTTTGCAGTGGCCTGCTATAAGAGAAACACAACAAAAGAAAACAGGGCATTACCCCAAGGCCCACTGGTGAGGATGCTGGTTAAATGATTATGAATCTGTACATGTGGCCCTTAAAAATAGTGATTTTTGGATAAGCATAGATATTCTTGATACTATCCTGAGTGAAAAAAGTGGCTTCTCGAGCAACATGTGGCAGGATATAATTTCTGTAATAGCATGTGTACACATACAATGTATGTGTAAATGCACATGTATGCAGGCGGAGGGATGTCCGGGAAGATATCATCAATGGTGGTTCAGTGGTCTTGACTTCGGTCCTCACATTTTTCTCAACTTCAAAAATGTTAAGAATGAATACGTATGCTCTAATCAGGGAAAATCCCACAATATTCACCTGGAACGTAATGCTAAGCACGGGGTGGGTGGGTGCGTGTGTGTAACCACACCTGTGGCGTGTGGAAGGGCGTTCCAAGCAGAAGGAACCACGTGCACAAAAGAGTGAAGGTGTAGAGGTCTAGGGGGTTGAGCAAGTGCTGGGAGGTTGGGTTGGCCACAGCTTACAGGGTGGGGTGGGCGTTGGGGGGCTGGGGAAGTACACTGGAGCCAGATCTGGAGGACCTTGAGTGTTCGGCTTGGCAATGCGGAAGCAGGGTGGTAACCTGGCCAGCTTGGATTCCTGCTGCCTGAGAGAGGCCTTATCCCCCTCACTTGGCACATAAGACTTCCCTACTCTGTCTCCCCCTTTTTCACCCCATACCTCCCAGGGTTCCCTTTGCCAGAACTCAGTCTCCCCTCCCCTGCTGCACACCCGTTCCAGGCCTGTTTGTCCTTCAAGGCTCAGGGCCAGGCTCGCTCTCACAGGAAGCCCTCCCAGATTGCTGATTAGCCTTGATTTCTCCTTTCTCGTACTCTCACCCTTGGTCTTTTATACCTGACCTTAACTCAGACCTTAATTCCTCCACCCACAGATACTCCCTTTCCTGGCCTTAGTTGGGGAGGGCCCTGATCTGGGAGGCTTGCCCTAAGCCCTGGATGCCAGAGATGGACTGCCTGAGATGTGCCAGCTTTAGAGTCCTGGGGGATGGAGGAGGAGTGGGCAGCAGAGACCCAGGAGTGACTGGAGCCAATGTTACAGGCACTGTGCCAAGCGCTGGACATACCTTTTCACAACCGTTCCCGTTCTGCAGCTGAGGAAAGGGGGCTTGGAGAGGCTCGTGTGGCACTAAGTGGCAGGACTGAGAGTTGAACCTGTCTCACTCCAGAGCCCACACTCATAATCTCTGTGCTGTGCTTGTCTCGGGCCCTTACCCCCTGGACATCGGCTGAGCTGGGCCGACACTCAAGGTCCTCTGGATCTGGCTCCAGTGTACTTCCCCAGCCCCCCAGCGCCCACCCCACCCTGTAAGCTGTGGCCAACCCAACCTCCCAGCACTTGCTCAACCCCCTAGACCTCCACCTTCACTCTTTTGTGCACGTGGTTCCTTCTGCTTGGAACGCCCTTCCACACGCCACAGGTGTGGTTACACGCACGCACCCACCCACCCCGTGCTTAGCATTACGTTCCAGGTGAATATTGTGTGATTTTCCCTGATTAGAGCGTACGTATTCATTCTTAACATTTTTGAAGTTGAGAAAAGTGTGAGGACCGAAGTCAAGACCACTGAACCACCATTGATGATATCTTCCCAGACATCCCTCTGCCTGCATACATGTGCATTTACACATGGGGCCTCCCTGCACCTTGCTGCCCCGGGCCCAGGGGACACGGACTTCAGGGTGGAAAGGAGATGCCAGGTCACTCAGGTGGTAGCTCCTGACCCAGTGGAGGACCTGGGGGCATCGCAGCAGCCCTGCTGAGGCCTGGGGGGGGGGTCATCATCCCCCATGAAATAAAGCAAGATGCTTCCCTGTAGGGCCGGCTGGCAGGGGTGCCGTGGGGGGAGTGTGAAGGGGAGGGAGGCTGAGCCTGTGAGACTCTCCAAGCATAGGTGGTCAGTGAGATGAGACAGCCTACCTGAAAGCCTTACATACTGGTCACATCCAGGGTCTCTGCAAACCCTGACACTGAACCTCATGAGGCAAGCAGGCAGGCCCAGTGCCCATTTGACAGAGTGGGACACTCAGGCTCCACGAAGGGAAGGCCAGGCCCCAGGGACGAGCCCAGGCCAGGGACTAGAAGCCAGGAGGGCCCTGGCCTCCCCCAGGCACCTTGACCAGCCACAGCTCTGCTGGTATCCTTCCCTTGTTGGGCTGGGCGAGTCACTGTGACCCTAGGGGCTCCTGGGGGCGGCCTCAGCGGCCCCACCCTGGGCTCTGGATTGTGGGGAGAGTCAAGGAGCTTTGGAAGGGTGGGCACCGAGCTCAGGAGAGGCCAGGCGTTCACCATGAATAGTGTGTGCCCGTACTCAGTACCAGCCTGGGCGACTCAGAAGAAGCGTGAGCTTGGGGGAGAGAGGAGGGGTCCTTGGCCACACCCTGTGTGTGTGTGTGTGTGTGTGTGTGTTGGGGGTGGTGTTTCATGTAAATCTGTCCTTTATTAGATTGGGTTTATCCACAGGGACAGAGAGGTATGTGCATGGAAAGACTGCAGTAAGGGTGAGGATAAGCGTCCATCCCAGTGTGTCCTGGAAAGTTCCCAGATAGGCCACAGGAGGCAACAGTTTGGGGAAACCCTTGTCAGGCCCTGCCACAGCCTGGCGAGCGGCAAAGTGGCCGGCTGCTTTGTGGCTGCAGTGTCTTCGGGGGTTTGCCAAGCACTTTCCGTGAAGTCACGGGGACGTTAAGCCCTTGGTTCAATTAAATGGGTTAATATGCTCTGTCTGATTCTGAGGAATAATAATAATATAATGGGATAATAGCAATAACAGTGCTGTTAGCTGTGGTTGTTACACGTGCCTGCACTGTCCCAGGCACAGAGGGGAAAGTGCGGCATGCGTTCCCGCACACTCAGGCCTCATTTTCCTCTCATAAAACCCCATTCTTCAAAGCCTCCCCAGCCCAACTCCCTATATCCATTTTCAGGACAAATTACGAACACTTAAAAAAAATTGGTCCATTTTGTGTGAAAGCCAAGTCCAAATTACTGTTACTTTCCCCTTTATGTTTTCAAATTTAAAAATGAGTAGGGGTGGGGAGCTGAGGGGGGGCGCAGGGGGGATGGAGAGAGGTGGAGAGGGGGGAGCAGGGGAAGGAGGGAAAAAATGTATGAACGAAGGAGAAAAAATAAGCCTTCTTGTTTCAGTAAGAATGTATTTCTGGAATGATGTTTCAGTTTACTCAGGCAGAAAAATTAGAAATGGTGTGCTTATTAAGCAGGCTAAGTAAGCATGACTATTTTTAGTAGTGTAGTAAAACCTTGGTAATTTGGACCTCTTTAATAAAGATTCCATGATCACGCTGGCTGGCAGGCACACCCTACGTGCGTGTGTGTGTGTGTGTGTGTGTGTGTGTGTAGGCAAGGTAGGAGTGCAAAGAGGTTGCTGAGTTGGAGGACTGGGAGGGGGCAGGGGGTGCAGCCAGGGGACACAGGGGAGAGGGATAGATTCCCTGCCTATGACAGCCATTTTTTAAACTCTGAGCCCTCTTTGCTTAGCAAAAAAAAAAGGAGCATCACAAATGATTCTTCTCTCTGAACGTTCCTCTTGGCACCTATTAATTTGACATCCATTTAAAGAAGAATGTATTTCAAAACAAAAATTTCACTTGGGTAGAAATCTGACAGTAAAGGTTTACTTGACACTTGTCACACGGGCTTGCCCCTAAATGAGGCTGAATTCTGAGGGTTGACACGTCATTGCAGGCAGGTGATGACTGACACCTTCGGGGTGAGGGAAGGGTCCCGCAGGCACGCCCCTCCCCATCCTGTGGATCACAGGTCTTGGTATATTTAAAGTAATATTTGTTGTTTCATGTCACCTTTACAAAAGAAATACATGCTCAGTGCAAAAAGCTTGGAAAGGACAAATGAAAAAAAAGTCCCTCATTTCCCACCACCCCGAGGTAGCTGGTGTTAACACTTTGTGCACATCCAGAAACTTCCCTGTGCGTATATAAGAGCAAAAATGGTACAGTGCTTACATACTGTTTTATAGCCTGTCTTGTTTAGTTTTCTTACAGAGAAGCTCAGTTAAAAAAAAAAAGAGGCAGCGGCAGACCTGTTATTTAACATTCGGCTAAACTGATCGAGAACAACCATCCACACCAGTTCTCTCTTGGTTGCAAAATAGACACTCGGTAGGGGAAGTGTCCTCATGGGGTCCCACTGCTGCAGTGCACGAAGGGATGGAGAATGGGGTGAGGGCCACGGGGGGTGGGTCAGCTGTCCTGGGGGCTTGCATGGGGCTGCTAGTTAAAGAGGGCTGCAGGGAATTGTTTTCCGATCGACAGCAGACCAGCTGTGGCTGTGGGCTTGGCCCCTGAGCGTCCTGGGCACCAGCCCCTGCCCGCCTCTCTGGAGAAGGTCGGGGCATAAACACAGATACAACTTTTTATAAAAAGGTTCTGGTCAAATACGTGAAATTTACCATGTTAACCTTTTAAAAGTAGATCGTTCAGTGGCATTTACTATATTCACATTGTTGTGCAACCATCACCACTGTCCATCTTCAGAACATTTCATCATCCCAAAATGAAGCCCCATACCCATTCAACAATGACTCTCCCCTCTCCCCCTGTCTCTGGCAACCACCGTCCTATTTCCTGTCTGCATAAATTTGCCTACTCTAGGTACCTCAGATGAGTGGAATTCCAGTAGT